CAAAGGCTCTTAACTTATATTCTTTTTTATTAACTTCTATTCCTTTAATTTCCTGCGAATCTCGAATTTTGATCAACAATATTTCCAATGTTAAGACAAACAACAACGGTGATAGTGGACATCCCTGCCTAGTACCTTTTTCTATTGTAAATACCTCTGACAAACCTCCATTAACAATAAGTTGTGCCGTTTGTTTTTGATATATTACCGTAAGAGCTTGTAATATCTTTTCACCAAAATTCATCTTTTCAATTACTCTTAACATAAAATGCCAATTCAATTGATCAAAGGCTTTTTCTGCGGTGCCCAGCCCTAAAAATATCAGCCCTGCAGGGACTTGGTTATTCTTGTCTAAGTATTCTAATAAATTAATGATTTGTCTAACATTATTTTTCATATACCTACCAGTTATAAACCCAGATTGATTTTTATGCACAAGATGATGCACAACCCTCATAAACCTATTTGCTAAGATTTTTACAAATATCTTATAGTCCACATTGGTAAAGTAAGGTCTTGATCCTCTTTTGGAATCAAAGAAATAAAAGCACTACGCCATGAAGAAGGAATCTCTGAGCCCTGTAAGATATCATTGAAAAGATCGCCTAGTGGTTGGATCATCTCCTCCATTAAAACTTTGTAGTAAACAGCTGTCAACCCATCCGTACCCGGTGCTTTCCCTAGTTTCAATTGTTTAATTACTATCGCAATTTCCTCTTTAGTAATTAAGCCATTAATTTCATGTTTCTGATCCTCTGTCAGTTTGGGAAAACTAGCCTCACTTAAATATTTATTTATATCTAGGATTTGCACATTAGTAGATTTGTATAATTTTTGATAATAATCTAAAAAAGATTTCTTAATCAATTCCTTCTGAAAGACTAATTTGCCCTTATAATTTATTTTATCTATTATCCTCTGTCTCTGCTTCTTTCTTAATTGATAGGCCAGCCATCTCCCTGGTTTATTGGCATTACAAAATGTATTTTGTTTCATAAACAATAAGTTAGTTGCAGCTTGATCCGCCAGCAACATATTAAATTGTGCTCTTAACAACTTTACAGATTCTTTAATACTTTCATCTGAAGGATTTAAAATCAAAGACTTTTCTTTTAACTTAATTTCATCCTCCAATTCTTTACGTTTTTGAGTCTGCCTTCGCTTATAAGAATTATTCATTTTTATCAAGATCCCACGCATAAATACTTTACCTGCATCCCATACCATTGACATTGAAGTCCCCTTATGCATATTTAAAGCAAAATAACCCTTTAAAGACTCCTTTAGCTTTTGAATATTCTTTTCTTGTCTAAATAAGTTTTCATTCACCCTCCAGGATCTTCTCTCCTCTTTTTCTTGAGTCAGCTCCATCCAAACTGGACTATGATCCGTCAACGACCTAGGAAAAATCTTTACATTCTTTACTCTATTGTATAAGTCCGTTGTAATCAAAAAGAAGTCAATTCTTGAAAAGGATTGGTGTCTATCTGAGAAGAAGGTAAAGTCTCTCTCCTCTTGATTACATTTCCGCCAATAATCCCTTAGTTCCCAATCCTCCTTCATATCAAAAAAAGCTTTAGGTAATTTTGCCTGTTTAAAAAGAGAAGAACCTTTCTTATCCCTTTGTATATCTAAGACGCCATTCCAATCACCCATTAATACCACGGATCTATAGTCCAGCAAAGTTATTTTTTGATGTAGCAATCTATAAAATTGTTCCTGTTGCTGATTTGGTGCATAAAGTCCCACTATGAGTATTTTCTTACCATACAGACCAAGTTCAATCATCACATATCTTCCTTGGGGATCTGATTCTACCAGACAGGCTGGTAAATTTTGCTTCACATAGATAACCACTCCCCCCTTTTTCCCAGGAGCAGAAGATACAAAGTGAGATCCCAGACGGGCATTAACTAGGTATTTCTGATCTTTAAGTAAAATATGAGTTTCCTGTAGGCAAATAACATCATTGTTATGTTGCTTCAAATAGTAAAAGATTTTCTTTCTTTTCTGTGGAGAATTCAATCCGTTAACATTCCAGGTCAGGAACTTTGCCATCTCCCTTGGCCAAGAGCCTGGAGAAGACTCCCTGGAGATCTGCCATTCCTGCATGTGTTGCAGAACTCTTGGGTCTTGCTCCTCCCACCGGCAATGAAACACTTTCGGAAGAAGATTCTTTAGCCTCTCTCTTGCGTTGCTCCTTCTCCTTACGTCTATAAGCTGCACGGGTCATTCTCTGCTCTTTGACCTCCGTTTGACGTTGCCATTCAGCTTGCAGCATCCCAGCAGAAACCAGACCTAGTGCTTCAGATTGCTCCAACTCTTTGCCACTCAGGGGTTTCTGAACAGGTGGAACTGAGCCTGCACCCAGGACCGTGTTGTAGAACTCTTTGGCTTTATCAACCATATTCAACCTATAACGCATCCCCGCATGGCTCAGAACAATACCCATCGGGATCTCCCATCTAAATGGCATCAATCTGGCTTTAAGCTCATTAGCTAGAAAAGCAAAATCTTTCCTACTTCTTAAAATTTTTGATGGGATTTCCTTTAAGATGATGATATCTTGGGCAGTAATCTGGAATCTCTTATTATAAAAGACTTGTATAATTTCATTACGCAGAGACTTCTTTGTAAAATAAATCACCACATCTCTAGGCAAATTCTTCTGCTTGGCAATCCAAGAGTTAACTCTGTAAATTTTTTCCACTTCTCTGTGTAATTCTCCTTTATCCATATTCAGAGCAATAGCTAGGTCAGTAAGCACCACCTCCATCAAGTCTTGATTCATATCTTCCTTAAGGCCCCTGATCCTCAGGGCATATTCCATCTGTCTAAACTGGAACATAAGGATATCTTCTTGTGAAGTCTCCATCTTCCTTTCCATATCTTGGAATTTCTCCTCAAAAGAGTTAACTTTATCTGCCACTTCCTCCACTCTCGAGTCCAGCTTCACCACCACCGTAGCCAAGCCTGATACAGCTGCAACTATATCTTGCCGCAAGATGGTGTTATTATCTTCTAGTGAGACCTTCATCCCACTTAATTCTTCCTTAATTTCAGATTTAATCTGTGTAACAAGTTGCTTCATTTCATCTCTAATTTGAGATACAACATCTCCCATTATGCCTTTAATCTCTTGTACTGACGGGCCTGGCAAAGGAGGGGAGGGTGGTGGCTGGGTCGGTGGTACATGTTTAAGTTGTTGTTGTGCAATTAAAGCTGTGGGAGAGGAGACCACCTTGGATGTTATAGAAGGCGGCTGTCTCTTTGAAGCCATTTTATATGATGCAGTTCTCTCTTCCCTTCTTCCCCCCAAAAAGGGGGAGGAGGGAAACAGAATTTTTTTTAAAAAAAGGACAAGAACATTGTAATCCTTAAAAGTCCAAGGAAAAAAGGAGAAAAAATCCAATACCAGGAACAAAAAGATCAAAAGCAGTCATTTAAGTCCAAAACTTTAAAAGCAAAAAGACAAAAGAGAAAAGGAAAAAAAAAAAACTCCGACACTTTTAAAACGCCATCTTATTTCCTCTCTCCATACCAGCAAAAAAAAAGAACAAAGGAGAGATAATCAAAACTAACTAAAAGAGAGAAATAAAACACTAAACTATATAAAAAAAGGATCCTTTAAACCGCTCTGTCCGCTTCGGAAATTACTCACCAAGACGCTGTAGACGCGGAGATAGAGGCGGCGGTTTCTTTTGCTTCAAAAGGAAGCAAAAACAGCTGGGAGGCGGAGATCAGCAGGAGCTCCGAGGGAACACTCCTTCCACCCCCTCTAGGAATAAATCCAGAGGGGGTTCAGGGGTTCTACCTCTACTCCTGCGTTCTCTACCCCTTCCCTTTGCCCGGGAAGGGGATTCCGAACCGCGGGCCAGCTGATACGCGCTGTGCTCCGCGATTCTGACACCTTCCCAGCTGGACGGCTACTAAGTAGCCGCCATCGCCGTCGCCCTGTACCGGAAGCTCCGATCTATTTTTGACAAACCCATGTTGGCATTGCATATATAGGATTCTTGCTTGCTTAAAGCTTTATTGTTTATATATACTGTTATATTTACACTGGCTCATTGTAGGCATTTCTAACAGAAAATTTGCAAAACAAACTTGTGAGCATAGGGATGCTGCCACAGTTGTAAGAGTGAAAAACAGTCGTAAGTCACTTTCTTCAGTGCCATTGTAAATGAACAGTCACAAAATGACCTGTTGTAAGTTGTAAATTGAGGACTATCTGTATTTACAATAATAATAAAATTATTCAGAAGGAGAGCTTTTTCTATGATACATGCACTCTAGAACAGGGGTGTCAAACTCGCAATGTCATGTGATATGTCACGACGTATCGTGACTTTTTTGCTATTGCTGGCAATGGGGTGGGTGCGGTTTCGCTATGATGCATCCGTCCCACAGGCCGGCAGTTTGACATCCCTGCTCTAAAACATCATCTCTACAGAGACCAGGCTGGCCCCAAGTCTGCTGACCTTTCATAGGGCCTTGAAGACCTGATTATCTGCTTGAGCCTGGGGCCATGGGTGTGTGATGGAGTCTGCTGGAGTTTCCTAGCTGTGTTGACAACTATTTTAGGATTCTCTGGCTATTGGAGTTACTTGATTATTTTGTATTGTATTTGTGTGTGTGTATGTGTATGTATGTACGTGTGTGTATTACACATCATGTACTCAGGCAGCTATATAAACCAATAGAATAGTAATTGATAATAATACATGCTTTAACGACATGCTATATATGTTTTAAATTATGTGAGTTGTTCAGAATGTGAAGAAATAAAAGAATCTATATATAAGAAAGAATCCAGTGCCTTTGGATCCAAATTCAATAATAATATTTTTATTACAGTCACAGACCAACAATACAAATAAGAAACATTAAAAATCCAACTGTATTAGTATTTCCACATTGCACAGTGCCATGTTGATTTGCAAAAGCAGTTTTCTCTTAAAAAGCAGTTAAGAGATAAAATTGTAAGATGTGATCCGTAGTAATAATAAATCCATTGATCTTACAGCCCAAGAAACATGAAGAAGAAGAGGGTACTACAGACACTGCTACTTCATCATCCAATAATAATGAAAAGGATAGTGGAGTGGGCCCCACAGATGAGAGCCAACACAATGATGAGAGCTCAGAGCAAGAAATTCCTATTGAGGAGCAGAAGAAGGAAGCCCAACAGGAACTTGGACAGACTCCAGACACTTTGGACAGCACTGAAATTCAGTGGAACCAGAGCCTAATGCCCGGGGAATATATGAAAACTGATTTTGTTGTTAACCAGGAAGAGGACTGTGAAAGGTTTCACCAGCTATTGGAGCTCAAGTGTAAGATCCAAAATCCTGGAGAGTATGATTTATATTATTCAAGCAGTGCCATAGAATATAATCGAAAACAGAAAGCTGGGGTTGAGCATGAACTGCAGCTGCTCAATGAGGAATTGAGGAACACTGAATGTGAATGTCAGAACATTATGCAGGCCCATCAGCTTCAAAAAATAAGAGATCAGTATAAGTATATTTGCACACTGCATAATAGTACATTCAGGAACTTTAACACCATTACAGATCTTCAAGGAGGAAAACTCTGTGAGAAAATAGAGCATCCAGAGAAATCTGACAAAGAAACTTCCAGTGTTTACAATACACCCGAAAGCTGTAGAAAGATGCCATTGAATTTAGAGCAATCTGCTGATAGTTCTCTTCAACAAATGGTTAGCATTACCAATAAAAAAAATATCAGGACTACCATTGTAGCAAAACAGTTGTCATCAAGGCATAGTAACCAGGAGGCAACTCTTAAGAAAACCAAAGTTTCTGAGCAAAATAATTCAGCTGAAGACAAGGAAATAATTTTGGAAATCAGCAAACCAACAAAGCAGGAAAAACCAAGCTCTGAGCACATTCCTCACCTGTCCCCCTACCATAGTTCTTCCTACAGGTATGGGAATATACCTGCCCATGCTAAGCGTTATCAAAGCTATATGCAGCTGATTCAACAAAGAGCTGCCTTGGAATATGCCCAAAGTCAGCTTAGCCTAGTGAACATTTGCAAAGAGTCACAAAAGGGTACAGAGGCCAAAATGGAATGGAAAGTTAAATTAAGGAGTGATGGGACAAGGTATATCACAAAGAGACCAGTAAGAGACAGAATCCTGAAGGAACGTGCCTTAAAGATTAAAGAGGAGCGCAATGGAATGACTACTGATGATGATACAGTGAGCGAAATGAAAATGGGTCATTACTGGAGCAAAGAAGAGAGGAAGCAGCATCTGGTGAAAGCCAAAGAGCAGAGGAGACGTTGGGAATTCATGATGCGCAGTCAGCTGGAGTCTCTCAAAGAGAATCCTCAAAGTGGCAGTGAGGCCAAAAAGGAAATTAATATAATTGAACTCAGTCACAAAAAGATGATGAAAAAGAGGAACAAGAAGATTTTGGACAACTGGATGACTATCCAAGAACTTATGACACATGGTGCTAAATCTCCAGATGACACAAGTGTACACAATGCTTTTTTATCTGTTACTACTGTGTGAATATGGTAGTAGTTATCTATGTTTAGTAATTATGATGTTCGGCAAAAAGCCCACTTTTGGTAGAATATATTGCCTCATTCAAGGTGGCATTTTTATATATTTGGCGGCTGTTATATTTGGGTCTTTTTGTAAGCAAATTCTTTGGCAATTTTACATTTGCTCTCATATAATACTATTTTCTTTAACAGTAATTTTACAACCTTTCTTTATTCTGCAATATTTATGTAATATTAATTTCTATTTAAAAACAAAAATAAAATAATCAAAAAGAAGGAATGGTTACTTTCATACACAATTTTAAATACTGATTATTAAGAATGTAGACCTTTCCTCTTAATTTTGTTTTATAATGCTTTATTAAAATTATAATGCCAAACCAAAATACTTTATACCTTATTTTTGCTTATTGGCATTTTAATTTTTTAAACATTATATGTTCGTAATTACATACCATATCTCTTCATGAAATTTAATAACATTTTGTCTAACAGCACATTGTACAGCTAAATTTAATTTTTAAATTGCAATAGTCTTTGTCAGTGTAAAGTGTTGGTAATGAATTCCCTGTGAAATGTAATAGTTGTGTAACTAGATAATATGTAGTATTTGTGAAGATCATAGAAAAAAAATAAATTATTTCATCTCTTTATGAAAAATTATCAAAGGCTGCTTTAATTTTCATTCCTTCTACATGCGTATTTAACATTTTATATTATAGTACAAAATGTTTGAACAGATAAATATCCAATTAGGGATATAATTCTTTATACAACAAAAGAATATTGTAGTTGAAAAATGGTTTATAGAAGGCACAATGATCCAGTTTGCCTCTCCTAGCACCAACACCCACATTGTTCTTTCATCAAAGAAAATGATGAATTGCAGAATAGTTCCCCTTCCCCATTCTCTCAATTGCAAGAATTTTCTCTTTTTGTATGTCAATAGAAGCATGTAGACACTGAAATATTTCTTTCTTGCATTTAAAAATTGGCATCAAATTAATTCAGGATGATAAGCAGTAGATCATTTGGTTTGTTTTTTGCAGTGAATTGGTGCTTAAACTTGATATTGCAGTATTTGCATCTTTTAATGCTCGTGCTAGATGTTAGGATCCAAAAAGATCTTGACCAACTTGAACAATGGGTCCTATCCAACAAAATGAGTTTCAATGTGGAGAAAAGCAAAGTCTTACATTTAGGCAGGAAAAACCAAAGGCACAAATACAGATTGGGCAAGACCTGGCTTAAAAACAGTAACTGTGAGAGGGATCTTGGAGTCCTAGTGGACAATCACTTGACTATGAGCCAGCAGTGTGCAGCAGCAACCAAAAAGCTAATATAATGCTGGGTTGTATAAACAGAGGCATAGAATCAAAATCATGAGAAGTACTATTACTGATTTATAAAGCCCTAGTAAGACCACACCTAGAATACTGCAGCCAATTTTGGTCACCATACCACAAAAAAGATGTTGAGAGTTTGGAAAAAATTCAAAGAAGAGCAACTAAGATGATCAGGGGCCTGGAGACTAAAACATACGAACAACGGCTACCGGATTTGGGTCTGGCTAGTCTAAGGAAAAGAAGAAATAGAGGAGGCATGATAGCAGTGTTCCAATATCTGAGAGGCTGCCACAAGGCAGAGGGGGCCAAGTTGTTCACCAAAGCACCAGATGGAAGGACAAGAAACAGCAGTTGGAACCTGACCAAAGAGAGAAGCAACTTGGAATTAAGGAGAAACTCCCTGACAGTGAGGACAATCAACCAGTGGAACAGCTTACCCCCAGAAATCATGGGCACTCCATCACTGGAGGTTTTTAAGAAGAGACTGGACATCCACCTGTCTGAGACTATATAGGTTCTCCTGCTCAAGCAGGGGGCTGGACTAGAAGACCTCCAAGGTACCTTCCAGCTCTATTCCATTCTAACTCTGCACTCACATACAGTAAAACTAATGGAAATAGTTGCTATAGTCTCTGAATATATTCACTTACCAGGACCAGGTTAAGGGTCTAAGTTTTCTAGCCAATCTATTTATATCTGGTAGGATACAAAAAATGAAGAACTAATCAAAATTAAAGATTACTTAAATTTGGTAATATTGGGAGGATCCATTTTCAAATCTTATTATCTACAATCCTGACCTACTTCAGAGCTGTACAAATAGGCAAAATAGAATTATAGTCAGCTCCTTTATTCCTAATCTTAATTAGCAAAACTGAAAGGAAATTTGAGCTCCCTTGAGAAAAGACCATTTTATTAATAAGAGCATGATAATATTATGTTGGATGTAGCTAGCTTTCTGTCTTGTGTTGTGGACCCCCCAGTCATGGCTGACTCACAATGCAGCCCTGCTTGCAACCAGACAACAGTAGCAGGAGGAGGGATGGAAGGTATTGGAATGTAAGGGAGGTTTAGGAGGGAACTTTGGAATGCAAGTATGCCACCTGGAAGTGTGAAACAGATCCCAACCCAAAGGTCATCGCCTGAGAATGTACAAGGTAGACAGGCTGTTTACAAAATAAAGCAAGTGCAACTGATTGGTGGACAATGGACAATGGGAGGTCTAAGGAAGAAAAGGAAAAGTTTGTTATGCTGTTTGTGTGAAAAAACATCAGAACTGGCTTTTCTTGTAGCTTACTTATCAATCTTTTTCCTTTTCTTTTTTCAGTCTATATGCAAGCCATCTTACCGGTTTATTAGCATTTTCAAAAAAGTTTTGTTTTGATCGTTTAATCTGTTGTACCATTATATCCATCTAAGTAAATTTAACTTATGTTTCATTAATTCCATTTGTCTTTTCAACTTTTTCTTTTGTGGGTCAACATGTAACTCAGATTCCAAATTGCTAAACTGTTCTTTCAATCTGAGCTGTGTTTGTTTCTTTTCTTTATTCTTTTTAGCCATATAAGTTATAGCCAAACCTCTGAAATATGCTTTCGCCATATCCCATACATTTTGAATAGAGGTGTCTTCTTTCTTATTAATTTTAATGAAAAATTCCATTTCTTTCATTGCTAATTATAAGAATTATTTTTCTTTCAGTATGGATTTATTCAACGACCATCTTAGTTTTTTCTTAGTTCCTTTCCAAATCATGTTAATTGGATTATGATCTGCCCAGATATTAGATTCTATTTCAATCTCCTGTATCATAGTCTTTAACTCATAAGAGATCCATATCATATCAATTCCTGACCACAATTTGTGCCTACTCGAGTAAAACGTATATTGTGTTTTATCTAGATTCATTTCTCTCCATGTATTTTGTATACATAATTCTTCTTTCATCTTTAAAAAAGATTTGGGTAGGGTATTTCCCCCTTTTTCCCCTTGTATGTGACTTTTATAATCCTTTTTCACATCAGCTACTACGTTAAAATCTCCAAGTATACAGAGATTTTGATAGTTTAATTCCACTAATTTATCGTATACTTGCTGAAAGAACTGATCTTGCTTCTCATTGGGGGCGTATACCACGACCATCAAAATTTGTTTTTGATTCCATGTAATTCCCACCATTAATAGTCTCCCTTCATCATCAATGTAAATTTGTTTTGGGTTCATCTTTTCTTTTATGTAAAAGGCTACCTCTCTTTTCTTTTGCAATGCCGAAGAGAAATAAAGTTTACCTATTTTTGGTTGTTCTAGCAATCTAAAATGTTGTCTTTTAATATGCGTCTCTTGAAGGCAAATTATATCAATTTTTGTAGTCTATGAAATATTTTACTCCTTTTTGATGGGGAGTAAAGACCATTTATATTTATTGAAAAGATTCTAGTCTCCTCCATAATTTTAATTATATCTGGATCTCAATCTTCTAGGGGAGCTTGTCTGCCTCTGATTTTTGGGCCTTACATCTTCCTCTGATTGGGTCTTTTGGGGTTCTTCTTCCATTTGCTTCGATGTTCCTGCACCCATCATTTCCTCTGATTTCTTGGATTCACAATTGCCTTTTTCCAAAAAAGCTGTATGAATGTTGAAAAATTCCTCTGCTTGAGATGGAGTGTCCAGTCTATATCTTTTCGAGTCCCAGAAGATTAATAATCCTTCTGGGACTAGCTATCTAAAATTCACTCCTTTATTGAACAATTTCCTTGTTAAAAATTGATACTCTCTTCAAGCTTCTCTTATTCTTCTAGGAATATGTTTCAGAAACACAAGTTCTTTGTCTTTATATTTCAGTGGTTGATCTCTTATTGCTCTCAAAATCTCATCTCGTGTGAATCTTTTGAGGAATCTTACATGGACCTCCCTGGGAATGCTAAATCTTCTTGTGTAGCTTGAATTAACTCTAAAAACCTGATCCATTTCTTGTTTCATTTGGTCCATTTCCATTCCAAGTAGTTCTGCCAGTATCTCACTCATCAACTCCAACAAGTTCTCATCCTTCTCTTCTATAATATTTTGGAATCTTAAAAAGTATGATGCTCTTTCCATCTCCATTAAGGCCATATTGTCTTTCAACTCTGCATTAGCTTGCGCCAATCTCTGGTTTTCCTCTTGCAGAGCTTCTAATTTCTGATCAACCACCGCTGACTTATCTTCTATTTTTTGCATTCTTTGTTGAGTGTCTGTCATCGCCTGTTGAAAGATTTCCATTTTTTGATCCATTTTAAGAAGATCGTTTTTCAAATCTTCATAATTTTTATCCAAATCTTTTCTCATTTCCATTTTAGACACACAATTGCTTGGACTATCATTTGCATATCTTTTTGTTGTGTTTCCTGTTGTAGAAATGTTGTAATTGATTTTTGGGGAGCTGGACTCACCGAAGTTGAGGCAGGGGTCGAGGAACCCTTCTTCACCCCTTTAACCAAATTTGAGGCGCTCATTTTCTAATTGTTGTTTTTATTTATAATCCAGTAATGAGAAAAAAAGAACAATTTATAGTCCAATTACAAGTTAAAAATTTATTCCACTGCCAAAAAAGAGAGAAGAAGAAAAAATCCAATAAAAGATTCCCTTCTTTTGTAATTTTCCTTATTATAGGCAATATGCAGGTGGCCAGACACTCACAAAAAAAAGTCTCTTTCAGTATCTTTTAAAAGAGATAGGAATGTCTGGACGTAGAGCCAAGTGTCTGGGCATTGAGCCAAGTTATGCAGCTGAATAAGCAAAGCTGCCAGCAAACCGAGAGGAGAAAAAAAATTACAATGTAACCACCAGGAGAAGCTGTCTCTTTTCCCCAGACATTTAAATAGAAAAGAAAAAGTATTCAAAATGGAAACAAAGTTTTAAAGTTCTAGTAGAAAACAAAAAAGAAGCAGTTAAAGTGGCTTTTCCCAGTTAGGATGTTTTCTTTTCCTTCTACAAGTGAAATAGTTTCTCCAGTTTAATTTTGAAAGACTCCAAGTTGCTTCTCCTTAGTAAAATTGCTTAAACTGCTGCTTGTATGGGGGGGGGGGACAAAAAACCCTCCTCTTTCCTCCCTTCAGCTTCCAGCTTCGAATTAAAGACAGATTATTCTTTCTAATAAAGTCCACTTTACCAAAAGAACAGAAACATAGTCTCACCCGGCCCGGCTGCTTGCTTTCCAAATCAGCTGTTCTCAGCATGATGAGTGTAAAATCCACTGGATGGGTTATTTCACCCTTCCAGCTCAGATAGACTAGGTCAAAACTTTGGCCACGCCTTCCTCAGGGTGTGTCTTCCCAGTTTTGACTTAGTCTCGGGCTCAGTTGGGAGCAAAAAAATTGGCTCTCTTAGTCAGGCTAGGTTAATTGACTTTTGGTATTTTCCAATTGGACTTTATTAATTTCAAATTATAATTGGATTACTCAGTTGGTATTTTATTTTAAATTGGAACTAGATTTCATGAATTGGCTAATTTTTTAATGTTCAAATTCATCTAGGGCCTTCTGGCTTCTAGCCACAGGCTCCTCTGCAGAGGGCTGCGACAGTTCCTTTCCGGCTGAGGACTCAGCTCTCAGGCAGAGAATAGCGGGGCTGCAAATCAGCGGACCAGCCGTATTTCAGTAATCTGAGCCCCTTGGGACTCAAAAGGTTCAGCGGCTTCCCTTTTCGGCTTCGGAGACATGAGGCTTCCTTTCGGATCCCGAGATCGCGGCAACAGAGACGGCACGC